AAAAAAAAAAAAAAAAACTAAAAAAAAAAAAAAAAAGAGAGACCACGTTTACCCTTTCACTTTAAACAACTAAAGAAAATGGGTAACAAACTATATGAAAACAACAGTTTTTAGACCTTAGGCAACAAAGAACATTAAGAGAGCGATCACCAAGAGAAAGGCAACAAACAAGGTGAGCCCTACTACTGCCTCAAGCTTACTTCCTGGGGTGAGTTCCCAGGCTGTGGTGTGAGGAAAGGGTACCCAAGCACAGCCCTGCAGGCTTCCCGAATTGAGGAGCACAAGTTCACAGTCCAAGGATGCCGTTGGGCTAGATGATGTGGGGCAGAAAACCGGAGAGAAGAGAGCTACACAGAGATTTCTGGAGCTATGCAGAGGGCTCCTTCCATCACCGTATTGATCAGTGCACGTGTATAAGTGTGCCCGTCCTTGTTTGACTGGCCCTCGTCTCCAAATCCATTCCTTTTGGCCTCCGTGAAAATCATCTAGGCCCTTTAGTTTTCCTTTGCAAGGGGCACTGAATGAAGTTTCGTCAGTAGAGGGCGCTGGACAGACATTACCGGGAAGAAGGGTTTTGTTTTCTGATCGAGGGGAGCTCACTCCATGTGCCCCTGTGTCTCCAGCAGACACAACCTCTAAAGAATTCATGGATCCATTTGTCACAACAAAAAGAGAGACGCAGTGACGTCTTGGTGGGGAAGATGACATCATCTTCCCAGGGAGGGATGGATAGGCAGAAAGCAGATGATTTGTAGGGCAGTGAAACTACTCTGCGCCATAACAGTGGCTACATGGCATCACACATTTGTCCAAACCCACAAAATGTACAACACCAAGAATGAACCCTACTGTAAACTATGGTCTCTGGGTGATAATGGTGTATGAATGTAGGTTCATCAATTGTAACAAATACAGCACACTCTGGTGAGTGATGTTGATCCTGGGGGAGGCCATGCACGTGAGGGGGAAAAGGGGTGCATGGGTGGCTCAGTTGGTTAAGTGTCTACCTCTTAACTTCGGCTCAGGTCATGATCTCATGGTTCGTGAGATCGAGCCCTGTTTTGAGCTCTGCACTGAGAGCATGGAGCCTGTTTGGGATTCTCTCTCTCTCAAAAGAAATAACCATGTTTATTTTTGAGAGAGAGAGAGAGCATGAGTGGGGGAGCGGTAGAGAGACAGGGGGGCAGAGGATCAGAAATGGGCTCCCCGCTGACAGCAGCAAGCAGGATACAGGGCTCAAACTCACAAACCAGGTGATCATGATCTGAGCTGAAGTCAGATGCTCAATTGACTGAGCCACCCAGGTGCCCCAGTGAATAAACATTTTTTTTTAATTTTTTTACATTTATTTATTTTTGAGAGGCAGAGACAGACAGAGCACAAGTCAGGGAGGGGCGGAGAGAGAGGGAGACACAGAATCCGAAGCAGGCTCCAGGCTCTGAGCTGTCAGCACAGAGCCGGATGCGGGGCTCGAACCCACAGACCATGAGATCATGACCTGTGCCAAAGTCGGGCGCTTAACCAACGGAGCCACCCAGGCAGCCCCAGCATTTTTAAAAAAAATAGATAAGTGGGGCACTGGCTAGCTTAGTTGGTAAAGCATATAACTTTTAATCTCAGGGTTGTGAGTTCAATCCCCACATTGAGTGTAGAGATTACTAAAAATAATAAAGCTCAAAAACAATTTTAATAGAGAAATAAGAATAAGAGCAGTCATCCTCTAGTCTTCCCTCCCTCTTCCCCTTCGTGTCCATCGCTCACCCCCATCGAGCCTCCACACATAAAACAGGGTAAAAGCAGTGTCGCCTTGGTTGTGCTCTCTTCTGGCCACTCAGCCTCCTCCTCAGCCCCCAGCAGCTCCGGGGCACTCCTGCCCAGGAGGAGATGGCCGGGGAACCACAGGGCTGGCAGTGTGATTGGGACTTCCCAGCCAAAAAGCTCTGAGTTGGACTCCTACGTCTGCACTTGACAAGCTGTACGCCTCCAGTCGTGTCACTTACCCTCTCGCAGACTGAGTTTCGTCATCTGTAAAATGACAACAGCAGGTTCTAGCAATCGGGCTGTTCTCGGGAATAAATTAGGCACTGTAGGAGGTAACGCCGCACACAGGCCCTCCGTCAATGACCCAGCTTCTGCCCGGCCACGACTGCAGCACCAGCTCCAACTGTACAGACCGAACCCCAAACCTTGGGCCACACACTCGCTCAACTGCTCACAGTCTCCCAATCGTAGCATCCTGTTTCAGACTTCTTTTTTTTTTTTTTTTCATTTTTAATGTTTATTTATTTTGGAGACAGAGGCACAAAGCATGATCGGGAGAGGGGCAGAGAGAGAGAGGGAGATACAGAATCCAAAGCAGGCTCCAGACTCTGAGCTGTCAGCACAGAACCTGACGTGGGGCTCAAACTCACAAACTGTGAGATCATGACCTGAGCCTAAGTCGGACACTTCACCGACTGAGCCACCCAGGTGCCCCTAGACTTCCAAGATCTTGATCACCCTGATTTAACCTCTTAGAAATGCTCACCGGCCCATGAATTTCACAAATGCTTTTTCACCCTCTCCATTATATCCTCCGTGTCTCTCAGTCTCCTATCATAGAACATTCTATCGTATTGATGTGTCTACAGGTCTATCTCCTTACTCAGGACAGTGAACTTCTAGAGGACAAAGGCCATGTCTACTTGAGTTTGTCTTCCCAACACCTAGCACAAAACCTAGAAGATGGTAGGTGCCCCATTCAGGTTTGCTAAGTGACTCTACAAGAAAGCAAATTATTAAGTGAAACAATATTCTTATATTTCTATAGTAAGTTCTCAACACTTACGTGGATTAGGCAAGCATGTTTCCGTTCGCCATTCTGGGTAATAAAACATCCCACTGGAAATCCTGGTGTGCAGTACTTTTCTCGATCCTCGGTGTTATGGCACCATATTACTGGCATATTATCAATAACCCTAAATACAAATAATTTAAAAATAAAAGATTTAATAAACATTTCACACCAAGCAATGCATCATCTTTCATGGATTTAAGTTTAAATTTTTAATCCAAGTCACCAAAAATAGTATACAACTTCAAAGATCTATTAAAACTACTTTTTCTAGGGGCACCTGGGTGGCTCAGTCAGTTAAGCGTCCAACTCTTGGTTTTGGCTCAGGTCATGATCTCACATGGGCTCAATCCCTGCGCTGATGGTGCAGAGCCTGCTTGGGATTCTCTCTCTCCCTATCTCTCTGCCCCTCCCCATCTCATGCTGTCTCTGTGTTTCTCAAAATAAACTTTAAAAAAATTTTAGGGGCATCTGGGTGGCTCAATAGGTTGGGTGTCCGACTTCGGCTCAGGTCATGATCTCACGGTTCGTGAGTTTGAGCCCCACGTCAGGCTCTGTGCTGACGGCTCAGAGCCTGGAGCCTGCTTCCGATTCTGTGTTTCCCTCTGCCTCTGTTCCTTTCTCTCTCTCTCTCTCTCAAAAATAAAGATTAAACAATTTTTTAAATTTTCTTAAAACCTACTTCTTTAAAAAAAAAAAAAACACCTCTGAAAGGACTTGAAAAATTAAGTTATGGTATCTCAGATGCCAAACCTACCAGTGATGTTGATAATTCAGTTGTATGCTTTTCTTCAAAAAGTCCAGCTTTATCTTCTGGTCATCATTTCCTGCATCATAGGATTTTACACAAACTTTTATACATGCTTCTGTTCTGTTAAAACAAAACTGTTAAGAAAGAATTAAAAAATTAAAAGATTTGACTACATTTTATAAACCAAGTGTCACAAAATAAGCAATTTATCTTACAGATAAAACTTTTCTTCAGAGACTTCAGTATGCCATCATCCTCAACACTATCTCCTTTGACTTTCGATTTATACCTGAAATGATTACACTACACACACACGTGCAATCACACACACCACAATATGCTTTCATGATTAAGAAAAATTTGCCTTCTCTTTTTAAAAAATTTTTTAACGTTTATTCTTTTTGAGAGACAGGGAGACACAGAATCCAAAGCAGGCTCCAGGCTCTGAGCTGCCAGCACAGAGCCCGACGCAGGGCTCAAACTCACATACCATGAGATCATGACCTGAAATGAAGTCGGACCCTCAACCGACTGAGCCACGCAGGTGCCCCCAATTTGCCTTCTTTAATAACATATAAGGTGGGACATAAAATCCACTGCAGCTTCCTAAAACTAGCCTCATATAGAACCCTTCACTTAAAAGTGGTAACAGAATCAATTATAGTGATGTTCACACAACTCACTGATTATACTAAAAACAATGAAGTGGCCACTTGAAGGGGAGCCTGGCTGGCTCAGTCAATAGACATGCAACTCTTCATCTCAGAGCCATGAGTTCAAGCCCCACCTGGGGCATAGAGGTTACTTTAAAAAAATTGGACACTTTAAGTGGGTGAATTATTTGATATGTGAATCTCTCAAGCAGAGCTGTTGCCAAAAAAGTGATAATAAGAGATCTGATATTTTTCATATGAAACCTCTGTTTACAAAGAGTAGCTGTGAGAGATTATCCGGTAAAGTGCCAATGTTATTAATCAGGAAATTATGAGCAAAATAAATTATGAAAAGAGTTATATTTAGCACCTCATACCCTGAAAGCACACGAATATTAATCCCAAAGTTCGCTACTGGCAGCTGAGAACACTCTCATGTTTCTTTCTTTTTAGTACTGCCCCGTTTCTTCATTCCAAGGGACAGCATTTCTTGAAAAAGTTCACTTTGCCATTAGGACAGTGGTATACCACAGGGGTATTTTGTGCAACTTTAATTGTCAAAAAGCTAATGCCTGACACAGAGACCAAAGGAAGAGATCAACAAAGAGCCCAGAAATAGATCTACATAACTATGTCCATGTGATTTTTTTGACAAGGATGAAAAAACATTTCAGTGGAGGAAGGCAAGAAGGAGAAGGAGGAGAAGAGGGAGAAAAGGGAGAAGAAGAAATTTCAACCCAAACTCATACCTCATACAAAATAACTAAAAAAGAACACAGATTTATTTTTTTTTTTTTTACAAATAGTTTATTGTCAAATTAGTTTCTACATAACACTCAGTGCTCATCCCCAAAGTGCCCTCCTTCATGCCCATCCCCCCTCCCCCCCACATCCATCAGTCCTCAGTTTTTGTCAGCATTCAAGAGTCTCTCATGGTTTGCCTCTCTCCCTTTCCCCCACCATTTCCGCCCTTCTTCTCCCCCTTGGTCCTCCATCAAGTTCCTCCTAATCCTCCTATACGTGCAAACATATGGTATTTGTCCTTCTCTGCCTGACTTATTTCGCTCAGCATAACACCCTCAAGGTCCATCCATGTTGCTACACATGGCCAGATTTCATTGTTTCTCATTGCCATGGAGTATTCCATGGTATAGATAAACCACATCTTCTTGATCCATTCATCTGTTGATGGACACTTAGGCTCTTTCCATGTTTTAGCTATTGTAGAGAGTGCTGCTATGAACATTGGGGTACATGTGCTCCTATGCCTCAGCATTTCTGTATCCCTTGGGTAAATTCCTAGCAGTGCTATTGCTGGGTCATAAGGGAGTTCTATTGTTAGTTTCCTGAGGAACCTCCACACTGTTTTCCAGAGGGGCTGTACCAGTTTACATTCCCACCAACAGTGTAGGAGGGTGCCCGTTTCTCCACATCCTCGCCAGCATCTCGAGTTCTCTGATTTGCTCATTTTAGCCACTCTGACTGGCGTGAGGTGGTATCTCAGTGTGGTTTTGATTTGTATTTCCCTGATGAGGAGGGATGCTGAGCATCGTTTCATGTGTCTGTTGGCCATCTGGATGTCCTCTTTGGAGAAGTGTCTGTTCATGTCTTCTGCCCATTTCTTCACTGGGTTGTTTGTTTTTCGGGCGTGGAGTTTGGTGAGTTCCTTATAGATTCTGGATATTAACCCTTTATCTGATATGTCATTTGCAACTATCTTTTCCCATTCCGTTGGTTGCCTATTAATTTTCTGGGTTGTTTCCTTTGCTGTGCAGAAGCTAAAAGAACACAGATTTAAAAATATAAAGTAGGGGCGCCTGGGTGGCACAGTTGGTTAAGCGTCCGACTTCAGCTCAGATCATGATCTTACGGTTCATGGATTCGAGCCCAGCGTCAGGCTCTGTGCTAACAGCTCAAAGCCTGGAGCCTACTTCAGATTCTGTGTCTCCCTCTCTCTCTGACCCTTGCTGCTCAGGCTGTCTCTCTCTCTCTCAGAAATAAATTTTTAAAAAATAATAATTTAAAAATACAAAATATTTATGAAACTTTTGGAAGAAAACATAAAAGAAAATCTTCAAGACCTAAAGGCTGTATCACATCTCCTTTGACTTGACACCAAAAACACAATCCATAAAAAGAAACCTTGACTATTGGAGCTCATAAAAATTAACAAAGTTTGCTCTGTGAAAGACTCTATTAAGAAGATGAGGGGCGCCTGAGTGGCTCAGTTGGTTAAGCATCCAACTTCAGCTCAGGTCATGATCCTGTGGTTCACAAGTTGGAGCCTCGTGTTGTGTTCTGTGCTGACAACTCAGAGCCTGGACCCTGCTGCAGATTCTGTGTCTCCCTCTCTTTCTGTCCCTCCCCTGCTCACTATCTCTCTCTCAAAAATAAATAAACAGTAAAAAAAAAATTAGAAGATGAAAACATAGAGACGACTGACCGGTTCAGTTGGAAGAGCATGCAACTTTTTTTTTTTTTTTTTTGAGCATGCGACTCTTAATCTCAGAGTCATGAGTTAGAGCCTCATGTTGGATATAGAGATTACTTAAAAATAAATAAGTAGGGGAACCTGAATGGCTCCATTGGTTAAATGTTGACTCTTGACTTCAGCTCAGGTCATGATAGCACGGTTGTGAGATTGAATCCTGAGTCAGGCTCTGTGCTAAGTGTGGAGCCTGCTTGGGATTTTCATTCTCTCTCTCTCCCTCCTTCCCTCCCTCTGCCTCTCCCCTGCTTGCTCGCAGTCTCTCTCTAAAATATAAATAAATAGGGGTGCCTGGGAGGCTCAGTCAGTTGAGCGTCTGACTTCAGCTGACGCGGTTTGTGAGTTCAAGCCCCATGTCGGGCTCTGTGCTAACAGCTCAGAGCCTGGAGCTTGCTTTGAATTATGTGTCTCCTTCTCTCTCAGCCTCTCCTCTACTCATGCTCTGTCTCTCTCTCTCTCTCCCCCCAAAATAAATAAACATTAAAAAATTAATATAAATAAATAAGCTTTAAAAGAAAAGAAGGGGCACCTGGCTGGCTCAGTCAGTAGAGCACCTGACTCTCCACCTTAGGGTTGTTTGTGAGTTCACGCCCCATGTTGGGTGCAGAGATTACTTAAAAATAAAATCTTTAAAAAAAGAAGATGATAAAAACACAAGCTGCAGACTGGGAGAAACTATTTGCAAACTACTGTTGCAACAAAGGAATCACACCTGGAATATATAAGGAATTCTGCAAACTCAGTAGTAAAGGAACAAACAATTCAAATAGAAATGGGTAAAGAGGAGACATCTCACTGAAGAAGATATACAGATAGTAAACACACACACACACACACAAAAAGATGTTCAACATCATTGGCCGCTAGGAAAATGCAAATTAAAGCTACAGTGAAACTCACCGATCAGAGTAGTTAAAATAAAAACTGACAGGGGCACCTGGGTGGCTCAGTTGGTTGAGCGTCCGACGTGGGCTCCGGTCATGATCTCACAGTTTGTGTGTTCGAGCCCCACGTCAAGCTTTGTGCTGACAGCTCGGAGCCTGGAGCTTGCTTTGGATTCCGTGTCTCCCTCTCTTTCTCTCTACCCCTCCCCTGCTCACACTCTGTCTCTCTCTCAAAAATAAATAAAAACATTAAAATAAATAAATAATTTTTTAAAAACTGACAACACCTTG